AACAGGTTTGACTACTTTAGTAATTTCCATGAGAACAAATCTTAATGTTTAAGCATATAATGATTGTGACGAGTGGGGCGGGGCCGGTGGAGTGAATGATAATTAGTGACACCTGCGCCACTCACCGGCCTCGAGTCCCACGGAGGAGCTCCGGAAGTATAAAAGGAGGAGTGACGACAGTGCAAGACAAGAGAGGACCAGGCCTGGACTTTATTTTGTGTTCGCCAGTTCCCGCCTCCTTCTTCCCGTTCTACGAACTTTGTTACAATGATAGCCATGGACGCTCGAGGCGGTGGGCCTCCATGGACGCTCCAGCTGCCTGGGTTGTGGAGGGACAGCTGCCCTCTGTGAGGGAGCGGAGGAGTCGTCGCCGTTTGCCTGAGGCCGGAGCCTGTTGCCGTCCCCCATGATGGGGAGGAGCAGGGAACGGGGGACTCCTGCCGGCTCCCCGGAACCCGGAGGAGCCATCGCCGTCCACCGGGCAGCGGAGGAGTGTCGAGCCACCCACCGAGGACTATCCAGTGCCGCCGCCAGGCATCGCGGAAGAGTTTACCCAGCTGTGAGTGGGGCGGGGCCAAGAGCCGTGGGAACGGAGCGGTATTTTGTGTTTGTTTATTTTATTATTAAAGTTTTGTTTAAATGTTCGCCAGTTCCCGCCTCCTTCTTCCCGTTCTACGAACTTTGTTACAATGATATTCTAGGGAATTGTGTGTTTCTAATTTTATAAAAACAGTTTAGACAGGACCCTTTTCTATTCTAACATGACAATGCATCTGTGTATAAGGCAAGGTTCAAAAATAAATTATTGATTCAGTCCGTGTGGAAGAACTTGACTGGTCTGCAGAAAGCCAAGTCCTAATCTTTTTTCACAATGGAATTTCGACATTCTACTCATACAGTTCACTTATCTGTATATATGTACAGGCAAGCATATAACAAAAATATACAACTCTATAAAACATTAAGTGCTATGTTAACTGACGGAACTAAACCTGTCATGCAAACTCTGCTTAAAGCTAAAGAAATATCTTTAATATAATACATTTTGTATAAAAATTGCAGTTGAATTGTACACCAAACATGTTTTTAACAGCTTTTACTAGTCTCTTTGAACCCCTCAAAAAAAAAAAGGAAATGGTAAAAGGAATCATGGACTTGAGCCATTGATGACAAAGATTATTAAAATGCTTAAAATACAAAAACATATAAACAATGACGTTCAAACTGAACCTCTCATGGAAACCAAAGCTTTAAGTCTGTTGTATTGCCTAATCGAAGCTGGTCATACAATCCTGCCCAAGTGATCCAAATAAGTAATACATTTGGATTGTGGGCTTTGCACTGTCAACAATTCAGCCAATGTCAAGGGGTCCCATGTAAATTGAAAACTAAATGTCCACATTTGTAAAATATTCACAGAGATGGTCATACTCCAGTGCCGTTTACAATCGGTGCCCAGTCTGGGTAGGTGTCCAAGTTAAGCAGAGGTGTTCCCCATGTAGTAAGAGCTAATATGACTGTAAGAACACCTATAACATTTACGCCCAGACCTGCCTTCACCTATAGTGACAAGGAAAACCATACAAAGCTCAGTTACTGTATAATATAAGATTTACCATTGACATTTTATGAAATGTACATGTGAAATGATCCAAAGGAACAAAATTGTAGGGACTCACCATGTCCATGCTTGTCAGATGACCATATGTGAAGACAATGGCATTAGGAGGATTAGAAACCGGAAGCAGGAATGAAAAGGACACACATAGGGCCGTAGGAATCAGCATGTACAGAGGATTCACTCCAATTGCCTCAGCCTAATAAAGATCATTTGTGATGAGAACATTCCAAAAAAATGATGTAAAAGTAATATTCTTCATACACTATATTGCCAAAAGTATTGGGACACCCCTTTCTAATGAACAGGTTTGACTACTTTAGTAATGTCCATGAGTACAAATCTTAATGTTTAAGCATATAATGATATTCTAGGGAATTGTGTGCTTCTAATTTTATAGCTACAGTTTGGACAGGATACTTTTCTATTCTAATATGACAATGAATCTGTGTATAAGGCAAGGTTCAAAAAATGAAATGATTGATTCAGTCAGTGTGGAAGAACTTGACTGGTCTGCAGAAAGCCAAGTCCTAATCCCAGCTAAACACCTCTGGTGTGACTTTAAATGCAGACCTTGAGCCAAAAACTCATCACCAAACACCAATGACTTGTACATACGGGTACAGTCATTTTAGACACTTCCTAAACAGTTGCAACAGAGATGGAAATAACATTTTTGAATGCATGAATTATGTTTCCATCTTTGTTGCCACAGTTTTGGAAGTGCCTTTTTCTGTTCTAAAGAAGGTTTTGTCCATATATATTCTAACATGACAATGCATCTGTGTATAAGGCAAGGTTCAAAAATAAATTATTGATTCAGTCCGTGTGGAAGAACTTGACTGGTCTGCAGAAAGCCAAGTCCTAATCCCAGCTAAACACCTCTGGTGTGACTTTAAATGTACACCTTGAGCCAAAAACTCATCACCAAACACCAATGACTTGTACATACGGGTACAGTCATTTTAGACACTTCCTAAACAGTTGCAACAGAGATGGAAATAACATTTTTGAATGCATGAATTATGTTTCCATCTTTGTTGCCACAGTTTTGGAAGTGCCTTTTTCTGTTCTAAAGAAGGTTTTGTCCATATAGTGTATGTATAAGTCACTGGTGTTTGGTGATGAGTTTTTTTGGCTCAAGGTCTGCATTCAAAGTCACACCAGAGGTGTTCAACTGGGATTAGGACTTTGCTTTCTGCAGACCAGTCAAGTTCTTCCACACTGACTGAATCAATCATTTCATTTTTTGAACCTTGCCTTATTAGAATAGAAAAGGATCCTGTCCAAACTGTAGCTATAAAATTAGAAGCACACAATTCCCTAGAATATCATTATATGCTTAAACATTAAGATTTGTACTCATGGACATTACTAAAGTAGTCAAACCTGTTCATTAGAAAGGGGTGTCCCAATACTTTTGGCAATATTGAAATTACACATACCAAGGGGGCCAGTATGGGCAAAAAGATTGTCATTGTGGCAGCATTGCTGGCCACCTCTGTGATAGAGGTGACAATAAGGCAGGCGATGGTGACAGTGGCTAAAGGAGGGAGACTTCCCAAGGGAGTCAGCAATTCAGCAACCCAAGTCGATAAACCAGAAATCTGTTGGGTGAAAAATAAAGAAAAAACATCGAAGACAGAAGGTAAATGTGTCCTGACAAGATATTCTTGAACCCAAACAAACCCACTTTCACAAATGTACCAATATATCTTTGTCTGCTTTTCACCAGAGACCAGAGTCGTAATTTAGCTTGTTTGTCAAGATACGTCATCCAAACAGCCTGATGTTGCATATGGAGAACTCTGCACAGTAGTCACCCTTTCTGCTTTGAAGATTTTAAAGACTGAACTTGCCATGACATTTGGGTGTCGATCAAAACAGGGCTGGTACCTTGATGATAAGACCCCACCCCAGCCTACCTACACCAGGAGAATATTAAGAAGTAGACGCTCTTGTTTCCAGCCTTTGCAACTGACATGAGGAAGGAGCCGTTTGTTATGCTGAAATGCTGTGCTTCAGTGCCAGTCTTATAATGGAGGCATGTAATTAGCTTGAATGGAACGTCAAAGCAGACAGAGAGTGACACAGTGGAATTGTTGTTCTCTGCACAACGTTAATGGGCTGCACACTGTTATGAGGCCTTGATGTGATTCGTCTTTTCATTTATTTCTTTTAAAAGGAAATTAATGTTTAAGATTATGAGTAAATGGTGCAATTGAGCTGTCCAGGCCTGTCCAATGCCACTAGTGAATTAGACTGGGCTGTTTAATTGAATCCAGGCATGTAAAACGGACCATTAATTGATTCAACTATTAAAGCGGCCTTGTACTTTTCTATTCATTTCTGTCTTTTCTTCTCTTACAGATATAGTTGGGTTTCCATTAAATCATGATCCTACCTTTGTGCCTTCAGCCAAAGCGAAACCACCACCCACGAGCAGACTGATCTCCCATGGCATACAGGCCTGGAAGTCCTTCCACGTTATCAAGGCCTCTGTCACAGGGATCGACAATGTTAATCAACAACAAAACTGCCGATAGTGAGCCTCTAATCATTTGGAAGGGTTTCAAGTGTGCACAAAGGAAATGAGTAAGCCGTACCGTAGCGCTCTGCATTTGGTTTGTGTGCGGGGATGATGAAGAACATGAAACCCAGCAGCAGCGCTACAGTGGCATCCGTAGCGTATCCTGGGTAACTGAAGAAATAACAAAATACAAAGAATAAATAAGAAATCTAAAGGCAATTATTGAACAGAATGATGACTTTCTCTAATGTGCAGTAGTATATCTACATCAAAAGAAGTTGATAAATGTGAATACACTCACTCAGGAAACAATGACGACCAGCCAGGCATGAAACCTGGGTTTCTTGTAAACCACAAAACTGCCATCAGAATGAAAATGATCATGGTGATAATCTCCTGCCAGCTGGATCAGTACAGAAACAGTGTTACAAACAAATGATCAGAAATTCCTGCATCTCATTGCCCTAAACACTGGAATACACTACACAACTTTTGCCCCAATTTACTGTCATCACTAGTTGCTGAGAAATATTCACTAGAAATTTGTGTAGTGTATGATGGGCACAGACTCCAATTTTTTTTAGCTTTAGACTCTGTCCGGTCAGAGGATATAAAACATGTTTGATATTTTTACAGTAACTGAATTTAGAATAATTATTGTTTCTATTTGTAATGCTTCTAGCAATGAGGTGCATATTTATGTATAAGTTTTGCATGTGTTTAAAAATGACATGAAAGCCTGGTAGTGTGTGATCCACAGTCTTTAGTGTACAATGCCAGTTTTTCTCTGCACCACTTTCAAAGCCGGCATGATGCCTAGTGTTTTAAAAATCTGTTCTGATTTTAACTTTGTTTTGGTAAGCCATTTTCTGCAAGCGTGAGCGCGTCTGATTTTGCTCCCTTGGTGACGTGGCAAAGGGATCTCATTATAATATTACCTCCCCTTAATCTGTAAGTTTACACCCAAGGCGCCGTTACTGTGTTTTCGCAAGCGACAATGGTGTATAAAGCCGGGCTCACACTACAGGAGTTTTAAAATCCTAACCGATTACGAAATCTGGTTGCAGCACACACATAAGGAGAATCTTTGCAGATTATCTTCCCTCAAAACTTAAACATGCACACACTACAAGATTTTAACATCTTGGCACATCACACACTACAAGATATTATTAAGATTATCATGCCAGAGGGAGCGCCTCACGTGATCTCACGCAGCAGATGTCACTGATATTTCAGTGATGTTTACATATGTTAGTTAGCGTGCTAGCTGCTTTCTACACTCACCGGGTACATTCAAAACTGAGGCGATTTAACTCCAGCACTTCTCTTTCTCCTTACGGTTGTGGTACGTTTTCAACACATTATACAGACAGCCGTGTTACTATAAAACGTCAAGAAGCAGTTTCTTCCGTCCCCACTATCTAACGGGGCCATACAGCAGCTGTTTTGCAGTTGTGCATTGGCTATTGTGAAAGTACTGACGTAATCATATAGCCGTCATCATCCCGATTTAAATCCTAAATATCAAACATGTTTGATGCCAGAGGGAGCGCCTCACGTGATCTCACGCAGCAGATGTCACTGATATTTCAGTGATGTTTACATATGTTAGTTAGCGTGCTAGCTGCTTTCTACACTCACCGGGTACATTCAAAACTGAGGCGATTTAACTCCAGCACTTCTCTTTCTCCTTACGGTTGTGATACGTTTTCAACACATTATACAGACAGCCGTGTTACTATAAAACGTCAAGAAGCAGTTTCTTCCGTCTCCACTATCTAACGGGGCCATACAGCAGCTGTTTTGCAGTTGTGCATTGGCTATTGTGAAAGTACTGACGTAATCATATAGCCGTCATCATCCCGATTTAAATCCTAAATATCAAACATGTTTGACATGATCGGGGCGGCCCCGATTTATGTGCGAGCAGATCGGTAAGTGCAAGATTCGATCGGTGAATGCCTCACATTATCAGATAATCTGCGCCGAACATCGGGACCGATCGAGGGGCTTGACAAGATTTTTGCTCAGATTCTCGGGAGGGGGAAATCGGGGCTAAATCGGGCTAAAAATCCTATAGTGTGAGCCAGGCTTTAGTTAGTGGTCGGCCGATATATCGTCCAATATTTAGCATTTTTCAAATATCGGCATCGGCCGATATGTTTTTCGGTTTGGCCTTTTCTGCGTTCGAGGCGGGACTTTTATTTTGATGGCGCTGAGAATGGCAGTAGCACACAGTGCTCACATTCTCCCTCTTGTTTGCTGTCGTCCTTAACAGTTCTGTCTAATAATCAGATAGAACGGTTAAACAAATGAATGAATATGTATACAAAGTATTATATTATTAGTAATAGAAAGGCAAACATTATAATACTTTCTCGTTTGCCGTCAGCATTCAGCAAATAAGCATTTATATAATTTAAACAAATTTTTGAATGAATAATGAACATTTAATTTCACAAACCTCGCAAACTTAGCGTGTTTGCTGCATGATCGCGTGTTCTCTGTGTGACGGTCGGTCTGTGTGAATTGAATGCTGACAGGAGGAGAGTATAGCTTCACTGGAGATGCGCGATCGTAAATTCGTGATTTCAAATTATGCTGCGCTTTATGCATTTGCCCACTGTCATATTTATGTAATTTTCACTGTGTGCTGTATGTAAAATGAGTCTTACCTTAGCTTTATTTGAAAAAATATGATTCCCAATGCACACAAACTTCCCAGAATACTGAGTGCCCTGTTGGTTACGGTGTTTACTTCCTTTTTAATTATGTTTTTAATAAATATTTATTTATTTGTGAAAAATACTTTGTCATCTAAAGTATAAGTATGTTTATTTTACACATTTATTTTTTAATCCATTTTCAAATTATTTCAAATTTCTTAAATAATAATTAAAATAAATAAAATTATATCGGCCACCCTGCTTTCCAAGATATCGGAATCAGCTGTCAAAAAAACAATATTGGTCGACCATTAGTATTAGTTCTAATGCCATGGCGAAATTTTGAGCAAAACATGCTAACTGTTCTGTCTTTGGCTGCACAGACGAGCACAGAACACTATTTACAGTCCCAGCCTCAGAGGAGACAGAGACCAGAGGATTTATTGATTTATTTACTGTATATGGCTGCTGCCACACAGATCTAAAATAAACATGCAATTTATTTCCCAGCTGTTTACCTTCACAGACATAACCGACTGTTTTTGTAACTCGTGTGTTTTTAACGTAAACTTGTGTGTGAATGAGAACCGCTTTCTGTGCGTGTGCTTCGGATGTGTGCTCTCAGAAAACCGTATATCAGAAGTTTAAACTCATATGGTTTAAAACGCATGATTTCAGCGGGAGAAACATGATAATCAGAATCAAAACAGATGTTTTTAGCAGGTCCGAGCTGTAATGGCAGCTCTATTCTGGAAAAGGGGGCAGGGAGCAGCAGCTCATTTGCATTTAAAGAGATAGGCCTGAAAAACTGTGTGTTTCTGCTTCCACTCAAAATAGGCATTTTCAAAATTATATAATAAATGATCTGTGGAGTATTTTGAGCTGAAATTTCACAGACACATTCTGGGGACACCAGAGACTTATATTACATATTGTAAAAAGGGGCATAATATGTCTCCTTTAAATTGTTTAGTGTATTCCAGCTGTAAGTACAAATAAACTTTGATAATAATAAGAATCAAAATAATGAGGTCATAATCAGGTCTTGAAATACTTCTAACCTTGCCAAAATGACTTACTTTGACATGTTAACACATAATGCACGTCAAAGTCTGCATGAAATAAAAAATTACAAAAAATTGTTAGGCGCAAATTGCTAGTCTTGAGGTGAACAATTAATCCATACTAAATTAATCCACTAAAAACAATGGTTTGTCTTGGTCATGTTTAATCAAAATCTGAAAATTTGCTTCCACTCTATAATGGCATTCCTTATCTGATGACGTTACTTTGCTGTGAGCGAGAAATGGCAGGGTGGTGTGCTAAAATAAAACCATGCCCTCTATTTAATATTCCATTTCTGTTGGTCATTTGGGTTACACTTTACTTGAAGGGGTGTGCATAAGACTGACATGACACCTTCATAATCATGACATGACACCTACATAATCATGACATGACACGTCATGAATATGACGTTTTTTTTAATGCATGTTTATGACAACTGTCATAAGTGTCATTAAGTGTCATTCGCTCAGTTATGTAATTTTTAATGCAAATATGACATTATTTGACCTAACCCTAACCTACCCCTACCCCTA